GGCCGCGTTTCGATATCTTAAAAAACATCCGAGTTACCGTATTTACGTATTGTTAAAAATTGCAAAATTTGGTACTTCCGGTCCGGTTGAGGTGCAAACGAAATTCAAAGTGGTACAAACCGGTACAAACGATTCTCTTTCGAACCCCGTAGGCCGCGTTTCGATATCTTAAAAAATAGCCGATTTGCCGTAATTACGTAATGTTCAAAATTTTTCGATTTTCTCGTTTTTCTCAAAATCCAAATTTGTTAGGAATTTTTTTCAAACGGTACAATGTTTGGTACAACTAGTACAATGTAGTACAGTCGAGAAAAAATCATTTTTCGAAAAGTGTGGGGCTACTCAAAAAATTCAAAAATTTCGTTTTTTTTGGAAATCCGCGCGTGATTTCAAAAAATGAACTACGGTACAATTTGATACAAAACTAGTACAATGCAGTACAATTTCGATTATTTTAATTTTATTAAAGTGTGGGGCTAACTTCATACACATGACGTATACATGTGCTGTCACCTTATTGTTCGCACGAAACATTCGAGCAGGCAAAACGCGACAGAAATTCAACGAAGTTATTAATTAAATTTTAACAGTTTAAACTGTTTGAACACATTTTCAGTCTGAGAACTTTGACATTTGATCTTGAGATCCGAGTTCGAATTACTCGACTACCTGATATTTCCAAGCACTGCTTTATATTATACTATACTATTACTTTTAATCGACTATCGCTAAAGACCTAATGTAGCAAAAATAGCAATATATAAAATTAAAACTTATTAAACATTAATTAATTAAAATTAATATATCTGGTTTTAGTATGTTAGCGTCACATATCTTGTTAAACAATTTGAAAAGAATATTAAGATTTAAAATTATATAATAATGAGATATATATTTATAATAATCAAACATCAAAAAATATGAGTTAATAGATTTAAGAATTTGGCTGTTTAATAATCATTTTTATTGTAATATAGACAAAACAATATATCAGAATATTGGAATTATTTCTAAAACATATAATATTAACGATTTTCTTATTAGAAAGGAAATAGTATGTTTATACAATAATTGTGATATTAATTTATTATATTTTTCTTGTCATTACTTCAAAATAAACAAATTAATTCATAGATCTGGTCATTATCCTTGCGAAATTACATAAAATCTTTCCAGAGGCATATCAAGAGATCGAGAGACTTGTCGCACATGTCCGGTTTTGTTTTAACTGAAACAATAATATAATTATTATTTGTAGAGATTAGTAAGCGTTATACAATTCTGATCAGCAGTTTTTTTGTATTAATTGTAGTATACCTTGTTCGACACAACGATGCACGGTTGCGTAGATTGCGGCCTGAGTACCAGGATTTAAATGAGCATGTGCCGATTTGCCGTACAGCTTGTCTTTCTGAATCTCTGACTCCGTAATCTAAAATTGTACAAGATTGATTTGGTTTTATAAATAATATTATGTAAAAATTAGTTATTAGTTGTTTTGGATAACAAATCGATTCCCATAATAGATTTGCAAGTGGATAGATTTAGAGGTGTGTTTCAGAAATACAGTGAAATAGAGACTCTCTCTCTCTGTGTGTGTGTGTGTGTGTGCGCGCGCGCGCGCGTGCGTGCGTGCGTGCGTGTGCGTGCGTGTGTGTGCGTGCGTGCGTGTGCGCGTGCGCCAGAGCGTGTGCGTGTGTGTGTGTTGTATTAAATTTGATTTGTAATTAAATCATTTTTTTCTATCAAAGTTGATATATAATTATTTTCACATTAAACACATTAAATAATTGTCCGCTTATATAAAAAAAGAATTAAAAATAATATCAATGAGATATCAATGAGATTTTTATTTTAATTTTTTAATTTTTCTAGAAACTATTTAAAAAGAAAAAATGATTTTATACATTATAATTTATAATGCGCATTATACTTACTATGCCTCGCTTTTGCAAAATGCACAATGTGAAACAACCATTTTTCCTCGTTTTTTCTTCATTTTCGGGATTCTTATAGGAACCATTTTTTATTTCCACGTTTGTAATCAAATCAGCTGGAAAGTATGAAATAATGATTACTTATTATTATATCATTTTATATGGGAATAATTTTTAAATTATTTTTATGGTATTTATTAAATATTTAATTATTTTGCGTTTTTACTTATATATAATTAGCATGAAAAATATTTGTAAAATATTAAAAATAATCAAGATTACTATATATAAAATTTAAGATTTAAAAGTTTGCATCTTTATTTATATTAATATTATATTTTATTTAGAAAAAAACGAATCTAATACATGTTAAAAGGGGTTTCAAGGGGTTTATAAGTTGAATCAAGCAAAATTTTTCTACATGAATCCACGTTTTAAAATCATCTTGAATTTTTATAATAAAACTAACAATAAGAATATATTGTTTTTATATGCAGAAACAAATAAAAATGACGAGAAAACTCAATTTATAAAAAAGGGATCATATATGTATACAGTTTCCAAATCTTCTCTGATTTTTGGCTGTAAAATATGTTGTTAAAATCAGAAAAATCATGGATATCAGAGATATCTTGTACATATAAATAAATTTTAAACAGATCTTACTTTCCGCCAGATTTGCGTTCTCGTAACATTGTTGTAAATCCTCGGTGGATAGCGATCCGCCGTGTAAAGCTGCGTCGGCGATAGTACTTGCATTGGCCACCACCTAAAATCAATATTGTTATAAGCTACAACAAAGCAATACAATAAAATTATATAAAGCAGTACAATAAAAATACAGTCGAGATGTAATAGCTTTGAAAACTATATTTTATTATTAAGTTCAACTTTAATTCAAAAATATCTTATGTCTTTAAAAAAGAAAAAAGATTGAAGAAAACTTGGGAAAAAGTAAATTGATAAATATTTATTTTAATTGTGGTAATGATAATTTAATTATGGCTATTAATTAATAATAGCTATGGTTAATATTTAATACTAATTGAATTGTCACTACTTACGGCGGTTGCCATTAGACAGACGAGTAGTGCGAAGGATTTTATCATTTTTATTTCAATAATTTGTTTCACAAGAGACACACTTTTGACGAAGTGTCGTAAACTAATGGAGAACACGCCAATGAGCTTCTACTTATATATCTGGTGCAAACGCTAAATATGGCGATTATTGGCAAGATGAAAATGCTAGAGGAAACTTGTCGATATTATCTGATATGCGGGTAAAAAAGTTAAAGGAGGAAAAACTTTCTGTATCATGCGGTCGATGCACGGATCAAGGAAAATGTGCGCGCTGATGGGGAATTCACACCGCTATTTGCGTCACGTATCTCTCGGTCGATGTAAAATATTGAAACTTTTCACAACGGGGAAACTATTTATTACAATATATCAGAAATACGAAATATTTGATGTTCCAATTTAAAAATTACACATCGTAACGAGTGTTCAGAATTCTAAATACAGTATTATGTTTGAAGTATTTGAAGATTTGCAATACCTAAATAATAGAAGATTTTTTTAATGTTAGAAAAAGTTGTATTGATCTAAAAATTTAAATTAGTTTTTTTTTTATGTTTTAAAAGTATTCTAAAAAAGGTTTTATATTCTCGAAAAGATCTGATGTTTAAAGAAGTTTCCAAAAATGTAAATACACTTAAAGAATTTATGATTTAAAATGAGTATTGCGTTGGAATAAATGAAGCAAACAAGACAAGTTACATATTATCTATGAAACTGATTACACCGAGGAATTTCCCGTGTTTTTAAAATTGAAATAAATGACTTCACGCGACCTCCTTTATGAGCAAAGAACGATATCACATGTGTTTTGAAAACACTGCTTTGATCTGAATAATATTTGTTAAAATAACTCATAAAATGTTCATCGATAAAAGTTCATTTTATTACAATTTTATCATTTAAAGAATTATCCATTTATTTATATTGTCACAGAGATTCTTTTTCATGTAAAAATACTAATTAACAAAATGAATACATACGACAAAATCTTTAAAAACACCGATTATGTTGTGTTTCAGGAGAGATAAGTGGGTTGTATCAAATTTTTAATTAATCTTTTTTATTTTATATTAGCAGCATGATTTATTAGTAACTAGATTTATTGTAAATCTACAGAAATTTACGCCGATGACGGTGATTTTTCTTCTACGCACATTATTGCACAACATAAAAAATTCGGGTACCGTTTCTGGTTCAGATAGCATAACGATAGTGCTTAGTGTACGAATCGCTTATCTTTTGCCTCCATAATTACTGACAAAGCAAACTAATAATCCGAACACTCTATCTTCCTTAGTCATAGCATCGTTTTTGTTCACTGGAGAAGTCAAAATAGAAATTATTGGCTATAATATAATAGAAAAATTAGATGCAAATCGTATATTCTAAAGAACTAATTTTGAAGTATTTACTTCTTTTATTAATTTATGAAAATATATTAAAACACCACGCACGCACAGAAGTTTAGCACAGTTATAATTATGATTGTAACGAAATTAAGAGAGAGTATTTTCTATTTTATTTTAGATTTATGTATACTTACGGTCAATGATACATTCTGTTATAATTTGCTCGCTTGGCATCTTCTTATCTTTATTATGGTCCACCATTTCTTGAAGTATCTTGCTTACAACCAGCTTAGAATTTTTCATCTAAAATTAATAAAATGGAATTGGTAAAAAACATAAAGTGCGCGCACTAGCATATATATGTATGTATATTGTTAAATTATATGTGACAAATTAATTATTGCAATTATTTTGTTTAATTTTGATTAAGTTTAATTTGGCAATACATTTTATCATATATGATCGATAAAATATCATTTATTATAGTTAATAATAAATTTTATTATTTATTATTTTTATATTATATTTTGCTCATACATTTTAGTACATAATGTGTAGTACATATTGAACAAAATTTATACGTTTATTTTATTATAATAGCAATGTGTTCTCCAAATTTTTGGAATTTTTGATCCGGAAAAGATTTTATAATGCGACAAAAGTATAAGATTTAAAGCTATCCCTGGTAGAAAAATCACCATGGTGCTAGGCTGGCGCTAACTTACTTGCCCCACTGCCTGATAAGGAGCTAGTATGGCATGCAGACTATCGCCAGACACAAAATCATCACATTTTTCCAGTCTAATACCCGATTTAATCGACTAGTCAGGCGTTAGCTAGCTTTAGTGTAGTGCTATCTAGCCGTGGTGTGGCGCACTCTAGTTCTGATGTTGTACTATCTAGCCATGATGTAGCGATAGCTAGTTCTCACGCAGTTCTTATTTTAT